TAATTATTACTTATTTAAAAGAATTAATATCTATAGCAATATTGTGCACGAAATATACTATGTCTTGTGAATATTGATGTCATCAGATTGTTTAAGCGAATTCAATTATTGTCGAGTCTATCTGCTATATTTGGGAAGAAGCGGTATGTTTTGCAGCCTGTTTTGGACGTATTCTATTCTGCCTGCTATATTTTAACTATTTGCAATCTGAGGTTGATCATCGGCATTGATGATTTTTTTTAAAATGTTATCATTTAAAGAGATTCTAACATCGTAATAAGTTACTACTTCGTTGGTACGAAGTGTGTATCGCGTACTGAGATCACTAATCGTTATGCGCATAGGCGGGACGCCCACCGCTACGCAGAGGCCGTCCATCGGGGTAGATGCGCAGGCGTGCGTGACAATTCCTAAAATTCCCTAATTCCTCCTCTTTGTGCGGCCGCAAGCGTCAGCCAATCTTCTGAGTTACATAAATCGCTTTATGCCGGGGACGCATAAGCGACCACTGGCAAGAAGCACTCCCCATATATAGTTAAGCATGTGTGATAAGTGAGTCCCCAACGCATTTGCAACAAGTGTCTAATTTTGTAAGATAGCTATTTCGCTTGCGCCCGTCGTTTGTGAATATAAGTAGATATATTAAGGTCTCTGCTGAACCAGACCCCCAGGTACCTTAATACCTCTGGGTACTTTATCTTTCTACCCTCCATGGTGATTTTCAGCGGTTTACATTCGTGCCTTTCTTCTTGAGGTGTGGTTTATATTCTCAATAGTTAGGATTGTTTTTATCACTGTAGTCTCTGTAACGCTTCCCATGTTTGGATTAGTCAAGTGTTTTTAGGAGGTAATCGAACATAATTTTTCAGCAAAGTGGGCCACCACAGATCCCTGAGGGCATCCACGCGTAGCCACTTGCGTGACTAAGACAATTCCCTAAGATAGGCTAAGTGTACGATTAGTAAAGTAATCTTGCATTACCCTGTATATATTTTTAGAGCAGTTTCGTGACTTTAGTCCTTCAAGAACTTAAGGCCACCAACCATACGTTATCAAACGCGCCTGAAATATCAAAGAGCAATGCAACCACGTTACGTTCTGTGGATTCTTGTATTGTGATCGCACGCTAGTTGAGCGACAAATTTTTATAAGTCTTTCGAAGATTTTGCTTAGTACTGATAGAAGACATATAGGTCGATATAATTTGGGGTCTGCTACATTTTTGTCGGGACTCTTCAGGAGCATATGAAGTTTTTCCTCTTTCCAAGTCCGAGAAAAGACGCCTTGAGACAAGCATTCGTTAAAGAATGTTAGGAATTTTTCTAGGAGGTACGCAATGGCCCGCTTGACGACCTCCACTTGCGGAAGCCCTACGGCTTTTCAATCCTTAAGCGTTCTAACAACTTGCTTAAGTTCTTCCTGATTAAACGGTTCTGCATCATCTGTGTTGGGTGAATTAAGAGCGTTCATTCTCGGTAATAGTAAGGTAATCGAAAACCCCCTCCTCTCCTACATCTACATACCTACTGCTGTGTAATATTTTTAAAATCTTTCAGAAAAATGCATCTACTATTGTGGCTGAATAAAAAAAAAGGATTATGACTCTCTTCAAATATTTTCTCATTTGTCATCGGTTAAGTGAAAAATTGTTCTATATAAGAATCAACATTTACATACAAAACTAATTTTGGCATCATGTCACATGCAATTTGAATTAAAAAAATGATGTTGTTATTGGAATCAAACATCATTCTGCAAATTCTACGTTGAATGCTCTGCTTACATAATCAGCACACTTCGATTCGTAGTGTGTACATATAGATTTCTTTTAAAATTTTTTTCCAGCAATTTTTATAAACAACGGAATATCATGAATTATAAACCAAGCACTTTCATATAATTCCAAGTGCTTTTCTCGATTATGTTATTTAAAAATTCATTAATTTTTATTTCAATGGTTTCTTAAAGCTTTTTTTCCTATCAAGAATTTGATGCGAGGAATAAAAGTAGTAATCATGTGGAGCGGGAAAAATCCTATTCACAGCTAAGATGGCAATAAAATGGCCGAAGTTCGTTTAAAAGTACATATGCACAATGTCAATGAAAAGAAAGAAAAAAAAGGCGTTCACAACAGTATAAAAAATAGGTCTGAACACACTATGTCTGCGCTAACATGACGCACTTCCCATTAGTAATTGTTTATGACAAATTGAAATAGTTATAATCAATGTTTATTGAAAGCATCCAAATCCATGTGATATACGCATTAAGTAATCGATGAACACAATTTTTAATTGTTTATAACACATTCGTATTGTTATAAACAGTACATGTTTGATAAAAGTTATCTTTAATTGTGAACAGTAATGTCTAGTCAGTATCGACTTAATTTTCAAATGAAAATGTTATTGTTTGACTTTTAGCTAATCTTTTTATTTTTTTATAAGTTATTTTGTCATAAACAAAAACGGCTCTACCGAATTTGTTTAAATTTTAATCAGATTTTTTGTTTGCTAGTATCTTTCGAATTAATTTTGGTTGAAGTCGATATCTCAATCCGTTCTTGAGATTTCGACTTCAACCGGAATTGAAAAAAATGCTGACGTCCATACATACGTACGTACGTACACACACACATTGTTCTAAAAATTGGTCAGTATGCTTGCGAATACCATGAAACGTTGAGATATGATGAAAATTCAAATTTCACCAATCAACCCAATTTCAATAACTTTCTAATGGGAATTTAAAAATTGGAAAAATTATTTGTTGTTCAAATTCAGAACGCCCAAAATGGTCAGTTTTGGTGGACACGTTCAGAGCATTGCACTTTTATACCTGTAGTACATAAATATATGCTCTTGTGGAACTTTTTGTGACGATATCTACGTTTTTTTTTTAAAAGACTAACAGAAATGCACTTTGCCAAATTTCAATTGTTGATAAACAATAGTAAAAATCATTTCCAAACATCCACATTTTCATGCATCTGCTCTTCATGAACAAAATTCATCTACTGACACATGTACAACTGATGAGCAAGAGTTAAGCTACAGATGCACGTTGAGAGCAAGTCGGCTGAAACAAGGTGATAAGTATAGAGAAAAAATATGCAGAATCTGTGCTCATATATAAGATAATTTTAAAGTCGCTGCAGACACTGGTATGATTATGATTTACGAAAATGAGCTTTACAAGATATAAAAAAAGCATTCGAAGAATGTCGTTTTTGAGCATCAGAAAAATAGTTGTCATTACTTACAAAAGCTCATCGAATAGTTTAAAAAAAGGAACAAAAACAATCAAAGATAAAAAAATATTGACAAAAAAATTAAGAGAATTTGTTTATGGTATAAAAAAAAAATTAGAACTTACAGTGTATTCATTATTTATAATTCAGACCAAAGCAGATTTCAACTAGAAATGCATTCAGGAAAAACTTTGGCAGTGGAAGGTGAAGAAAAAGTTGAATGCATGGTACAATCAATTTCCTTGACTACTCACAGTCATACTTTGCAACCAACACTACCACTGTTTTCATGTTAAAAACAGACAAATGGAAAATTTGGTCCTGCAGTAAAAAAAAAACTTTTAGGCCGGATAACGTATACATAGACTCATCAATATCGGAAAAATTTACTTCCAGTAAATAGAGTGTAACAATAATTTATGAGTATGAATTTTTTTTTTTCGTAATTTATAATAATAAATTTTCTCAAAATTGATCATGTTTAGACCACTTTAAGATTTAGCTGAAACATGTATTTCTCAAAACATTGCTTCTAAAAGTTTATTATTGATTGATTTATAAACTAGACATTATCCTGAAGCTTTAGATGCTGCCCAAACTTCTAACGAGGATATCGAAGTAATGATTACAATTAAAGGAAAAACTGAAAATATTCAATCTTTTAATGTCACTTACGGTTAAAAAATAATATTATCAAGTTACAATCACTTACTCACAATGAATCTTTCTCCTCTCGATACCTTGATCTTTTCAAATATTTTTAGTTTAAAAGGGTTTACAGAAACATACTACCCGATGAATTCAAATAACCCGAAAATTTTGCATTTAGAGATCGCTGTAATATACACTATGATATTCCAAAATGCAAAACTATCGCGATTATCCTTTGTTCCTAGTGTAAAAAATCGTTACGTTTAGAACATGTTTTTAACCAATATTATAAATATGAATTATACAATACAAAGATTGATCAATGCGCTCGTCAATATATTAAAGATACGGAAAAAAATGTTATTCATTTAATGGTTACAGAAAAAATTCAGGTGATATTTTTGTTATTAATTGTCTCAGCATGTGTTATTCTCTAACAATGCCATATTCGATATAAAAAAGGTTCTCTTTTATTTGTGGATAATGCAAATTGACTATATCTGTATTTTTTCTAGAAAACAAAAAAAAGTATTTACTACTTTTTTTATTTTTTTAATTGCAGTGCGTATTGTTTATAAATAAGCGATAGATTTTTATGAATTAAGTTTTGATTACTTTGAGGTATTGTGAATATTTATTATTGACAACTGTGGAACGTGTGCTACTCGATATTTGTCATCATTTTTCATGTAGATTAATATCCATTCGGTCTTTTGAAAAAATATTGCCTATAAGTACGTAAAACCCTAACACTTTCTCGAGAAGTCATGTTCAGGGAGCTTTTTTTCCCTCAAAAAGGCGTGTTAGCAAAAAGACTTGTATCTTAAAATTTGATATAGAACAATATAAGTAACAGTCGACGATGTTAGATGCTACATGGAAATTTGAAACATATTCCATTTTTTGTTGAATGTGGTGAATACGCAAGAAATCGAGTAGCAGTCAAGATGTATTTGAACACTTATAATTATTAAAGTTTCACGAATTACATTCATAAAAAAGGATTTTAATAATACACATTTTTAGATTGTTCTTAGATAATCACTAACTTTTATTCATAATACAAGGAAGTCACTTATTCTTTTTTGATTCTTTTCAGCCAGATCTACTCAGTTTTGAACTGTTAAGTGGATATTTATGCCTACATATCAACTTAGGTAGTGGACATTCAAAAATTTGTTCATCGAATGAACGACTCGATAATGGGACATGGCATGACGTGTCACTGAGACGCGTCAACCAAAATGGAAGAATGACTGTTGATAAAGAAGTCATTGACTTTTATACAAAAGGTATGAAAATTTAATTTACGTTTATTAACTTGATATTTCCTGTTACAGTACCGAAAAATTGCACCGGACACGTCTGATTTTATGTAATCGTTCACTCGATAAAAATTAGACGTCACAATTCTTTCATTTAAATTTAGTGTCAAGAATTTGTAATTAGAAAAAATAAAATAGTACACTATAAAGCAAATTTGACATGTTGATCAAGTAATAATGAACGAATCTACAGTGTCAAACAAGCTAGTTTTTAGTATAAAATACTTGATGGGCATGGATGTATGAGTGTATAAAAGGAATGAATTGTTAATCGTACTGAGTAATTAACACTATCATTCACCATAATGTTATTAATTTCAAGATTTTAGGAATATTATCTACATATCTCTAAGAACAATGAGTTATTTACCTCTTGTTTGGCAATTATTGAAATCGTTCGATTGTGCTACTTCAGAATTTTATGAGATCATGACATAATCTATTTCACGATGAGAGTCTAAGGAACTTTTCTGTTCAACTGATGATCCGCAACATCTACTTCTTTACAATCTAAAAAATCAATCGTTCTTGATATTTATAGAAAATCGTTTCAAAAACGGTTGCTAATGTTCAGAAGAGGACAAGTCATACAACTTAACGTGTAAGTGATTTTTTCTAGCAAATTTTGATCTTCTTTTATTACTGCAATCGTTTGATTTCGCACGTTTAAAATTTTAAACAGATTCTGACGTTTTAAATTGATAAAATTTTTTTTGAGATTTAGAGAAAAGTCAGAGCAACTTAAATCTGTATTACAAACTACCAAAAGCAGATCTATGAATATTAAGATTTAAAGGGTTTGCGTACCATGTCTTTGTTTGCACGAAAAAGAATTTTTTCGAAAAATTTTCATGTTTTCTGATAATCCGCAGGCAATTCATTGGCCAAGTAAAAAATATCAAATACAGTAAAAAAATTCCCGCGCCTGTGAAGTAAAATTCGGTTTAAAGACTCGGTGGTGCTGTTTCGACAGGTTTTGGCATGAACTTATACAGTGTCTGTCCAATTCTATAGAATTGTAATAGTAGCCAATTACAAGGAATTTATGCTGCATGATTTGTGATTATATGAGTTTTTGGTGATAAGAAAAAACTTTGTTTCTGAATATTGGTATTCTGTTATAACAAGTTTCTGTATGCTGAATCATCACTTTAACGAGAACACATTGTTCAATATGAATAACTTCTCCAGCCAAACTTGCCATAAATTAAGGTACTTTCATGAATCTATAGGCGAATTCATCAGGCTGGGTTGATGCAATAGCCAGGCTGTTCTGTACAATCTCCTTCTCCCGCTTACACCTGTGCATCACCCATTACATCATGATATAATGTTTGGAGCTGAAGTCTAATGTGTCTTTCAACATAAATGAATCTAGTATTAATATGAAGAAACATGTCTATGTTATAGGTTGTCGTATTGACTGCTTTAGTTGCTTCCACTTGACCGAGTGAGGTTCCAGTAACTATGAACAGTTTTGGATGCTCAGTCTTTAGTAATTTGAGACCACATGAGTCTTCAGTTCCAATTAGAGATTATGAAAATGTAGTTTCATATGACTGAACTGTGTAAATCGTTTCCTTTTTAGTTTTTAATTTTTGAGCTCATCCTCCATATAATGTTGAATATGTAGTCATAGAAAAATATCAGAAGGTATGTCCTACACATGTTTCCGAATTAAAATTACATTTAGATCCGGACGGGAAATAAATTTAATTAGAATTCGTCTTTACTCAGGCTATTGCTGATCATAAACTGATACGAACAGTGCCCATCACTACTACAGGATTTCATATACTGTATGGATCTGAGTACTGTGCACCTGAACAAACTTCATTCTGAGTTGATGAGCCTGCTAAGGTGATGCTTTTAATTGTAGTTGTATTTAATAGTAAACCATCTATTACTGCATTAGCGATTCAAAGCGTGCCATGATCGTGCGTTATATGGCATGCTTCCCTTGGCATAGAATGGATATAATCCATGTACGCGTTATCAACAACCGAAACATGTGAATGCATTCCACAATAATGCACAGTTCTACTTATTCTAACTTTACATTGTTTTCTTCAAATGGTCCATCATAATGATCACTTAATTCATTTGGCTTTGGACTTTTTTCTATGAATACATTATTTCCTATATGTCACTCGATAGGTTTCATCTTTCTGTCATATTATTTCTTTGACGTTTCTTTCGAATCTACTATATTTTCATATGCTAATTTACGTATGTTCGTTAATCTTTTCACTAAATCTGTCATATAATTTTCATACGTTGGCAGACGATCTAAGTTATGCAACGGTTCATTTGTCGAACGCGCGCTACTTTTCCAAAAACAAGTTCATAAGGTGTAAATTTTGTACCTTCATCAATACTCGTATTACATAAGAACATAGCTAATTCTAACCACTCGTCCCATTCGTCATCCTTACGTGCGAATTGTTTTAAATATTTTCCGAACACATGGTAGGATCTCTTTAAAGAACCATTTAATTGTGGTCTAAACGCGGTTGTCTGCAACTCTTTTATTTTAAAACTTCTCATTGTTCTTTGCATAAAAGCGCTAATAAAATTACGACCTTGATCAGTCAATAAAACCTTTGGTGGTCCAAACACACAAACCATCTTTTAATAAACGCATCCGCAACCGAAATCGCGGTCATATTTTCAAGTGGAATCGCGACACTACACTTCGATAACTGATCCTGAATTGTTAAGATATATTCTTTTCCTCGTGATGTAACTGGTGAAGGACTTGCAATGTCCATTGCAATTTTCTCAAACACTGTACCTGGAGTATTCGTTATAATCATCGGTTGTCTATTTTTAACATGAGTTAAATTTTTTAATTGACAATCTAAACATTGTTGTATTCGAGATTGCACGTCGCTTATGATTTTTACATGATTTTTTTCGGGGACACTCTGATTAGATTTATGTTCATAAATGTAAGGCCTAAAATTTTCATCAGCTTGGACAATAGCCAAAGCTTACTTTTCATATTGTAAAATAAGACCGAGCAACAACTTTAGGAAATAAATTGTCAACTATCGTTGTTAACTAACAAACTGTCTTTAGTCTAATAGTCATTAGATGGCGGCATTCAAATATTTTACAATATGTATCATATTCAAACTCAGCGCCTCTTAACGCTCTCGAATGATAAGCAATAGGTTTGTCTTTACCTATTTTCCCTTAAGATAAAACTGCATCAACAGCACTGCCTAAAGCATCTGTTGTAATTATAAATGGTTTCGAAAAATCTGGCTATTGTAATACTGGAGCTATACATAAAGCTTCCTTTAATACGTAAAAAGCACTCTATGCTTCTTAAGACCATTTATAATCTCTATTTTTTTCTCATAACCGCGTTAATGATTTTGCAGTTTTCGAAAAATTCTTAATAAATTGTCTATAATATCCAGCAAAACCAAGAAAAACTTTAATATTTTTTTGCGTTTTCGGTACAGAAAAATTTTTCACCGCATCTAATTTCGATAGATCAGGTTTCAACCTTTTATTATATCTATAAATAATCGTAGACTAGGACCTGGTTAACGATTTGCTTAAAGTACGTTACACTATTCCAAATTTTTTTTTTAATAAAATTTATATTAGTTCAAACTATTCGTCAAAATCTGGCAGTGTAAATCGGGTTCTAAAAGTTTTTTTTTTATTACAAAAAAAAAGCGAAGAAAAAGTAATTTATATTACTCTAAACTTTTATACACTGTTTTAAATATTTATCTGAATGTAAAAGAAATGCCAGATGCTTCAGGTATTTTAAACCGTTGGCAGGTAAGTTTAAAGTTTAAAAGCGTGAGAGAGAGCGTGTATCGTCCGTGTAGTAGGCAATCTTATTTTCCTGCCTTGGAAATCTTTTCTATTGGATGACGCTGCTGTTTTTGGAGGTAAAAAATTGATTTTTTAAAAATTTTGTCACTAAGTGTTACCAGGTGGCGGCGTGTAATAACGCGCGAAATGTGAATTTCCAAAATTTCATGATGCTGATATTCAATTCAAGTATTATAGAAATGTATTTTTCTTAACTCATATACTATTCTATTATTGAATTATTCTTGATACTTAGTTGCACAAGTAAATTAATCCATAAATCTTACTATAAGGAGAAGGTAGAGTTGCAAAAAAAAAGATTATTAATTGCAATTAAACAAATTTTATTTCATAATTGACATAAACATATAATTCAATGAATTGTTTTTACATCATTCTCTAAAAATATCCACTTCCTGCCTATTTAATGTCGTGTGTCATGAAATCCTGAGAGGTGTTATTTTCATTTGTTTTAATAAATTTGAAATTATTTCAATTTCCACCAATGTATTGAAGTGATAACTTATTATTTTTATGAAGTCGATCGAGGTGTTATATTCAGTGTCGTCTTTTCATGCTCCAGTTAATCTTTTTGGCAAAAAAGCAATCAATTCGTCATCTAATGTTGCAATGACTGCGTCACCATGTATTGATTTCACTTTTTTCAATCCTGTCACTCGTTATTTTCGTGTAGTATCTAATTCTGACATTTTTCCGGTTTTTAAGTATTATTCGCAATACTGTTGATGTAATCTATTTTTTTTTGTATTTTATTTCACTCAACAATGTATTAAACTTGACAACGTAATTATTACATTATTTTCTCTTAATAGTGCACAACTGAGTGTAAATTTGATGATTTCTGTAGCAGAACTGATTTCAAAATGTCTCGTCTGTTTTATATAATCAACGCTCTATCGGTAAGTTCCCGAAACACATTTTTTTGTCGACGCAGTTTCCTTTGTTAACTGATGTTTTTTTCTAGAAAATACGTCACACTCCGGTTCTTAGAAAATTTAACCGTTATATTTATATCTTAGAATTTTCTTTGTCCGTTTTATTAGAATGGCGTCTATGTGACATCATATCTTTTTTTGTATGACGTACACTTCCATGTAAGTGACGTCATA